CAAATAAAATCAATATATTCGTCAATGGCTTGTGTGTGACAATATTTTATTTATCTACCGTTTATGTTAAGTCTAATTGTACATATACTTCCTCATAACCACGAAAAGATATGTTTATATATACTGTATATATACATTAGATAAACATAGTCTAACATTTCTCCAATATTACCCGTAAAGTTATACATAAGGTAAACATGGTCTAACATTTCTCTAATATTATGTGTATAGTTATACATAAGAAAAACAAGATATAAACAACACTAAAACGGTATAAAAACATAATACACAATTCTAAATGATTGCAAAATCCAAAACCGAATGTAGTTATACATTAGATAAACAACCTATGTCTACTTTACATGACTCCGGAAACTCAAAACTTGTCAATTCCAACATATTTCAACTTTACATAATAATAACCATCTCACTATCGTGATTTGATAAACCCGCACCACAATCACTAATTTTCTTCTTTCTCCTCGTTAATGTTGAAATCTGAATCGAACACTTGTTGATTCATTGGAGAATCGACAATTTTCGCTTTACCCTTGTTTTGTTGAACCCTCTTCTTCTTGGTGTCGTCGAGCACCTTAATTTTTTTTTATTTTTTTTTTTGTTTTTCTGTTGGACACAAAATCATCGCCACCGTCTGCCCCACCGTCGGCGATCTTCGGGTCACGTTTTTTGACACGACTTGGATGCTCCATTTTCTAAAATTGGAGCTTCTTTTGTACAACCTTGCGCGGGGGGGTGAAGTTGAGTTGTGTGACGAAATCGGAATCGAACTATCCTTGCTTCGTCTTTGTTGTTGGAATTTTTTGCCTCAATTATTTACGCTTTGGCATTCTTCCAATTTTCGCAGAGAGAGTTTTAGTTTATTGTGTGTGAGAGATGAGAGAAGAGAGATAAAGATTTTTTTTTTTTTTTTGTGATAGACTGATGAAGCCATGAAGGGATCAAGATCTCTTTTATTTTGTGAGATGTTATGTGCACAATAAACGAGATATGGAGAGAGAAAATTTTGATTTCTTTTTTTTTCTCCAAAAATCATGCAATAATCTAATTGGGTGTGGTTTGTTGTTTTTGAAACTGACTTATTATCTTTCTTAATTAAATATAATTAAAACTGATTAACGATTAATTAGGCCTCATTTAACACCTGATTCTCTTAAATTATTATTATAGAACGTATATATGATGAAAAGATTTGTTTCTCGTAAATGTGATATTATTTCCACAAGCATATGTAAAGGGAGTAAATTTCTCTAGAATTAATTGACAAATCTAATTTGATTAGATATCAATTAAAGGAATATATTAAATTAATCAATTAG